GTGCCATTGCCTTCTTCCTAGGCCGAAAGTCATTCAGTTGGCTTCATTCCAAACAAGGACTAAAATTCATGGTCTCCCAATTTTTAGCCCAGGACCTTTAACCACTACACCAAACTAGTTTTCACTGAGATGACTAAGATTACTAAAACAGTTACCAGCTATAGACATTCAATTTGACTACAACTGACAGTGCTCTTCTATTGCATCTCTACTCCAATGTAAAGCTTAATGTGTTCACAGGACTTGTACTTATGTAAGTATGTATAGGATTGCAGTTTTAGCCCACAACCCTATGCATATTTACCTAAATGTAAGTTCCAATGAATACAATGGGGCATCCTCTAAGTTGATATGCACAGTACTGTTTATTGATAACATTAATATCAAATACTGATAACATTTATTTTACAAATTCTGTATACAAAACAAAAGCAAGAAACAAAGTCACCAAAATTGTTTTATGTAATAAACAGCTATGCATAATAATGTCCAATAGCATTGAAAATTACCCCATACTTATACAAATACAAATAAATACAATCTTACTGTTCTATATTATTTAAAGCATAGCAAATTACTCTTCAGTGGGTTTATTTTCTCTGTTCTTCAGTCTTAAATAAAACTGTCATATCTTGTGCTTTAGGAGTATTAAGTTACTTCATAAATTCCTAAAGCATTACTGATACCTTCTGCAATACACATCAAAATAGTATCAGCTTTGCATTTAATGAGGCCCATATTTCTGGCACAAACATATTTAACAGAAAGTAATATGTACTGCTTAGGTTGACGTTTTTAAAGTTTATCAGACTTAAAGTGCATCTGTTATTTCTCAAACAAGGCAAGAGCAGATTAAAATAAACTACACCAGTGGGAATGCCAGTACAGCCAAGGTTTTCTGGCAGTTTAATAGAAATAGAATCAAGAATTTCATCTATTAATGGATACTTATTTCATATTAATGTATTTCTGTTCAACCTCCTTAAAAAGAAAGAAGTACCATGAGTAAAAGAGCTTTAAGATCTCATAAAAGCAAGCATAATATTTATATAACATACTGAAAAAGTTTTTTTTTTAAATTATATTTCTTCTAGGTACCACATAGAGGAACGATTCAGATGACACACTAATCCTTAAGACGGTTTGCAGCAAATAAGGAACATGTTGGAGCTTGCTGGTCCCTACAGCTGAGTCAGCCTTCTCACAAAGAGCTGCGCTAGTAAAATTGCAGCAAATCCAACTGCCCAAAGATGATGCTAGAAACCAATGCTTTGCAATATATCAGTTTTCTATTTAATTAATTCTTTAAAATATTAAGAATCATATAAATAAACAAATAAAATTGTCAAGTTCAAGGAATATGGTGCATATCACAGAGGTTATATAACTTATATACCTAAGCCTTAATTTGTGGTGTTACCAGAGATGTTTACTTATTTATCCCTCAAAAGCCAGAGATAGAAGACAAGAACAAAGTGTGGTTTTTCCTTCTGGCTGGTACCAAAAGTTCCTGATTCATATATGTTAATGATTAATATATCTTAATCATAATGAAATCCCTGTTTGCTAGCCAAAACCACTTGTGGGAAGAACACCTGTGGCAAGTGTGATCTGAACACATACTATTTGTTTGCTGCTAAACTGTCTCACAGCTTAGATATTGTCTGAGTGCAGATACATACTTATACTGTACTTTAAGAGACAATATCTACTTTTTAAAAGAATATTTCTGAAAAAGAAAAAGATTAGTTTTTGAAGCTCTGAGATTATGAGTTAGACAGTTCTTCAAAATAAAAGCAAACTCCTCAAAGGTACTGAAATTATTCTCTGAATGTAAACAATTACAAATCAAGTCAAATCTTTATTAAGGTCATAGACCAGCATAAGGAGGGTGGGGTACGGTCAATTAAAAAGCAAAAAAGATAGATTATAAAAAAAATGAAAATTATGAAAAGATAGAAGTTATAAAAAAAGATATGTATTAAAACAGAAAGTGTATGTGTATATGTGTGTGTGTGTGTGTGTGTGT